CAGTAGCCTGTCACGGGCGATTAAACGCCCTCCTCCTCTCTCTCCCTCTCACTCACTCCCTCGTTCGTGTGCGACTGCGCTATATACAGGCATTACTGCGCTGCGCACAGCTCATACGATTATCCCGATAATCAAAGTCGGCTTCATTAATCGGAGCCGCCTCCCCGAAACTTTACCCATTAGGCTTTTTCAACGTGATTTAGATTTACCCGATTGTGTGCCCGCTGCTGCTGCAGTTCGCGCAGTGTCGCGCACGCATGCACACGACGAGAGACTCTTACTTTTCCTTCGATCCGCGTTTAATGGATGGAAATTTGGCCTTTAACGGCATGATCGCGTACACGCGTTTTTCAATTATTATACGTACGCGTGATATCCTTTTTATATAAGAAATTTAACAAAAAACAGGCCGATCACGCTACTCTTATCCTTTTTTTCTTTTTTTTTTTTTTTTTAATGGATACGAGCTCTTCGGGTGAAATATCGTGTCAAGTGTATCGCGTGCGCGACGATTTAACGAGGATCCTGCTTAATGGAGATCGACTGCCATCGCCTCTCTTTTTTTTTTGTTTTTCGGCTTTACCTTCGAACGTATATATATAAACTCGAATACACTGCAGCTGCAGCGAGTAAGGAACACGTATAGGACGTGCGAGAGAGAGAGAAGCTCGGGAGGAGAAAATAACGCGCTTTTTAAGACACACACATATATACAACACTGCCTCGCGCGCGCGAATGGCGTGCAGGTCAATTGCAATAGCCATAAAAGTGTAATGGACTCTGCCGCGCCGGGCTTGTGCATTTTAAAAACTATAAATCCTCCCGAGCCGAGAGAAGCCTTTATAATATATACCATACGCCGTCGGACGTGTGTCTTGTAAATAACAAAATAATGCTTATTGAAATATAAAATTTTTCGAATCTTTTTTTTATTGCTTCGGATAGGATGTGCCTGTAGCTCCGATCGAGGTGTAATTCTATTTTTCAATTTTTTTTTGTTTCTACTCTCCGGGCTCGAGCAATCAATACGTGGATGCGAAGGGAAGAAAAAAAAACCCTAAAGAAGAAGCGGCAACGATCCAAGCTGGTGTATACAGCGCGTCGGGTTAATTTTCTTCCTTCGGGATGAAGAAAAGAAGCTCGCTCTGATGGATATGTGCTATATATATACTTAACCTTTTGAAACGAGCCAGATACGCGCTTGTGTGTGTATGTACACGTAAAAAAAATGAAAATAATATAAAAAAAGGTTGATGCAGACGTATCTGTATATAAGAAAGTTTCACGCTCCGAGAGCCCGCGCGTGCGCGCGAGTGATGAGCTATATATAAAACGAGGTAAAAAAAATCGCAGACCTTGATGGACTCTCGCTCGCGCGAGAGAGAAAGAGAAACGAGGGGGTAAAAATGAAAGAGATCTTTGTTAAGTGTATACAGTACGCGCGATTATAATGGGCCCTCTATTTTTTTCTTTCTCTCTCTTTCTGATTCTTCGCTTCTTAACACTTTGGCTTTGGCGTATCGCGTCGCGTCCCCCGTCGTTGATGCACTTTTTCGCGCGCGCTGACATTGTGCGTATATAACGATCCTGGTCGCGATCCATACACACACACGCACACACACCTTATTGTCTTCTTCTTATTATTATTATTATTATGATTATTATTATCATATTATATTATATATCGATCAGTGGTGGTGCATCATCGGCCGGCGCGGCCTTGACGCACACTTTGAAAAATGATTTGATAATTCCGTGTGCCGTAATATCAGTCTCTTGAATCGCGCCCGATCGTGCATCTTGTCGATCTCTCTCAGCGGATAAAGTAAAAGATCAAAAAAAAGGAAGGCGAGCAGAAGAATAAGAAGAAGGAGATGAAGGAAAAAGTCGTACAGCGGCGAGATTCTTTTCTTTTTTTTTTATTTTGGTCTTCGATTAAGGTTCTCTCGCGATATAAACATTTTAATTGAACTTTATCGAAGCGGGGAGGTAGGGGTTTCCCTGGGCTAGCTGCAGTGATTAATTCGCGGGGTGAGCAATAATTGGTCCTCGAGCGAGTGCGAGATAAAATAAAATAAATTCCCCGGAGCAGCTGCGATAAAAATCAGTCCCGCACAGAGAGAGAGATACGTATTATACGTCTGCGAGCTGTATCGTAACGATTTACTCGCGCGCCCGGCTCGTGTATTACCTGCTTCACCTTCGTTTGTCTGTGTGTGTGTGTGTGTGTGTGAGTGTAGCACGGTAGCTAATTATTTCACGCGACCAAAAAAGAAGAGAATATATATGTACGCGCGTGTGTGTACGAGCTTCGAGGATCACATACCGGGTGACAAACGCGTATGTGCGTGAGATAAGGCCATGCCGCTACCGCCGCCGGGTGCATTGCACACGGGGCTATAGTAGTAGTAGTAAAATATATACGTAAACGCGATAAGGGCCGCCGCTACGGGGGGACGACGACGCGCACTTATACCGTACGTGGCTCGTGGTAAAGGGGCAAACGCGTGACTCGTATAGCTTATATTACAGCCGCGACGATTTATAACAGGCCCTTGACCTTTTATGCTAATTTTGTAGGGTATATAAGCAAAAGCGAGAAATACAAGTATTTTCAATTTAGCGGATATATACATATAGATTGTATATATTGGGTCCTAAATCGGCTATGAATGTACATTAAACGGGATATTATTGAGAGAGAGAGATAGGCTTTGAGAGTCGCGCGCGGTACGCGTTTATCGGACCGAAACTCATTGACCGGATCGAGCTATTTCTCGGATAAGCGTCTCTTGTGTCCATTACGTTGCGTTGTTACGTCTTGCGTGCCGCGCGTTGTGGAATTTAATTAAGCTTCCTCGGAACAACAGCAGCAGTACACGATGCCATTGCCCCTCCTACCTCCCTTACCTCCTGTGAATCGTTGATATAGGCTAGCCTCTATATTCGAGGCAAGGCCCTTTTAGGAACCATATACACTCGAGGAAACGACCATCATCTCGGGTAATAATAATAATCGAACGACTTTCCTTTTATTTTTTCGTATACGCATAATAATCTGTCTCTCTCTCTCCCGCGCGCGAGCAATTTATTAACACGTGTATGGCAATGTAGCTCGGCTGCCTCTCGAGTGCAGCTCTTCGCGATCGCGCTCGTATAATATACATACTCGACTTGGCCGGCGTGTGCGTGTGTGTGTGAGCGGATAACGGATTGCAGTGCAGAGTGTGGTCACGGCCACGACGACGGCCCCGCCGCGTCGCGTATACACACACACTTTTATGCGTGTGCGCATATATCGGCAAAACCGCTAGATAGGCGCGCGCGCGCGCGAAAAAAGTGAAAATTTATATACCGCCCGTACGTGCGCGCGTACATATAATATGAAAGCGTCTCGTCGTGCTTTTTTCTCTCCTCCTCTTCTTTTTCGCGAGAAAAAAATTACGATTCTCTCGATCGATCGATGGATATAGCTACAGTTAGATCGTGCATAGCAGATATCGCACACGCGCCTGACCTCTCTAATCGTCGTCGCTCGAGCAATCGCGATGATTGCCAATGAAAGTGTGTGACAGGCAGCGCATTATTATTTCGCTCTTATTTCGCGGTCACGCCTCTATAGCTATACGAGCTATAGTACTATATAAACGTCAAAAGCGATCATCGCGCGACTCGACGTGAGTGCCTTGGATCGACTGTGCAGTTATGGTGTGCCTGGCGACGTGTGACAATAACAATTACAGGCACCGCACGTGGAAAAGCCAAACTATATACGTAGAGAGAGAAGCCGCAGATTAGAAAGTAGTTGAAGGCCCTAAAAATTATCGTCACCTTATAGATTCAGCTGAATTTTGTATACATATCGAATGCGTAGGTATGTGTATTGTGTATGTGTAGGAGCGATCGAGTTTTCACTTCACGTACGCATACTGCATATACGTTTCTTATTCAATTTCATGCGCCCGTATGGTATTTCGAGCCGATCGGTAGTATTATTGCACACGAACAGCATATATACTCTGCGAAGCTTTTCAACGCCTCTCTCTCTAGAGGCCTAAGTGCACCGGCTAAGTGCTGCATAATGGCGAAAGATCGTTTTACACAATTTTACGAGTGGAAAGAGAGAGAGAAAAAAAATAACAACGACGATGAATGAAAAATAATAATAATAACTGTTGAACTAAATATCGATAAATTTTTTCTTCTTCGCTTCGACGCTCACTATATACTACTATACCGAGAGTGAGTCGAGCTCTGAGCAAGAGAGAGAGAGAGAGAGAGGGAAAAAGAGTTAAAACTTCATTTTCAAGTCGTTGCTGTTAGCGTCGTTGTTGTTGTCGGGTAATAAGAGCTGCTGCCGCTGCTGCTCGACGAAAGAGAGAGAGAGAGAGAGAGAGAGAAAAGGCAAAACAAGTATTTTCATTTATGTACCGTTAAGAAATATACAGACATTTCGCGCACGTAATAGCCGGAGCGCGATGATAATTATAGACATTTTATCGGAGCTTCTTATGGCAGTATACACACATATATACCTTGTATAGCTCTTTTTCAGCGAGCTGTCGCTAAGGCACACACGTATAGGATACTGCAAGCTCCGCAGCGCTCGGCTAATAGCGAAATCCGTTGGCAAACGTATATAACAGCAGCTTATATTTTACTATATAACGTATACGAGCGAGGGAGAGAGAGAGATGCCTTAATTCACCGCGACTACCTATCTACCACACTATGGCTTTATGAGTGAGTATTTGAATTTATTGGCGCTGCTGCTTATATGTATACAATATATAAACTCGTACTATTTATTTTATAACTTATAACTCGGGAAAAAAAGAAGTTGACAAAAAAAAAGTAATAATAAAAAACTTACGAGCCAATTTGTTCGGGTGTATAATATTAAAAAAAAAGCCTCGACTACTGCACCGCAATTAAAATAAATATGTCTCTCTCGCGTTATCTGACGCGACTCGAAGCCGCCGCAGCCGTTGTCGCCGCGCACATGAGTAATGACAAAGGAAAACGTCGACTGTCAACGCGTCAAAGTTTATATATACCTATTGGTATCGATAAATATATGTATTGGACGACGCGTGGCTAATATAAGGAGCTAGAGGAGGCTCGTAAACGCGAAAGAAACCGAACCGTATATACAAAGCCATGAAGTGTCCGACAACTGTTTTATCGCTGGTACTGGTACTGATGGTCGCGATCGACGATCGCGCTCACTGCCAAGAGGAGCCAAAAGTCAATTACGACCAAGAGGAAGAAGCTGGGCCGAAAGTTACTTACGACGAGGAAGGAGAGGGTCCAAAAGTCAGTTACGACGAGGGAGGAGAGGGGCCGAAAGTCAATTACGACGATGATCGTGAGAAATGCAAATTTTTATATTTATTTTACAACAAATGAAATATTTATAAGGTGACTACAGCGAGACCTTTTTTATTTTGTTTTCAAGTGAACGCGTCGGAAGATCGACCCTGCGACGTGGTCGATGACATCGTCTGCGGGGCCTACTGCGCCGACCAGAAGCCACGTAAGAGGGCCACCTGTGACGATGGAAAGTGCCGATGCGTCTGAACCCCATAACTATGCACAATTTTTCATTTCTCCACTTTTGCAATCGAAAATTATGTATAAAGATTAAAAATAAAAAAAATGCTCGCGAAATGTCGAAAACAAAGTTGCTCGGCGTACAAAATTCTTCCTTCCCTCACGCATATTTTCCGCGTTCGGAGCTCTCGACAAAGAATTTATCGATCCCCAAACACACACACACCCTATTCCCTCATCAAACGAGCTCGCAACAACAAAAAGAATACAACGCGGAAAAAACAAACGAAAAATCCCGGATATTAATAACCCATTTTTCCGATTGTTACGTGTACGTAGGACACAATACCCGTAATGAATGCTACATGGCTACCGGCATACAGTAGCCTTCGCGTCACACACACACACACTACAAGGGGGGGTATGTATAGCGCAGCAGTCGCGACATTGCCAATTATATACCAAGGCAGGTATGTATGTATGTATATACTTTCGGTCGAGCGCGCAAAGTGCCAATTTGTGAGCGCAATCGAATCGGACTCGTTGGACGGTTATATAGTTGTATAAGCGAGAGAGACGCGCGTGTCTGCGCGCGAAGGGCGACTGGCGAGCCCACCACCACCTCCTCCTCCTCCTCCGCTTTTCGTCATTTTTCTCTTTTCCTTTCAGACTCTTAAGTAAGTTTGTACGTATACGTGACTCGACAGCCAGCTCGACGAATACATATATTAATCCTCGTTTTGATATAATAATTATCACGCACGCGTTGAATATTTTTTTCTTCCTCGTCGTCGTCTGTCGCGCTCGAAAAATCGTATTTCGCAGCACGTCCAGAGCGCGTTGAATGCATTATATCACACACACACACACACGTATAGTACATGCGGGCTCGACCGCAAGCAGCAGCAGCACGAGGATCGGTACAGCCGCGCCGACGACAGCTCGAGCATTGTGCAATTGTGCTAAAGCGCACACGTCGACGAGCGAGCGAGCTTTCTGCATAATGTCGCGTCGCTTACTCGCGAGCGGGACACACCAATAATTATGTGCCTCTCTCTCTCTCACTCACTCGTGCTGCATGCACACACGCATTATCGCGCTCGGGCCGCTAAATCGTATTTTACAAACGCGGTGGCGAGCGAGCAGGCCAGGCAGCTTTTGTTTAAGCAGGCACGCACTACACGAGCGAGCGAGAGAGACCGAATGGGAAATTTTGCTCGGGCGCAGTTTATATGTATAATGTATATACCGGAGTCCGAAGACTCGCGCGTTATATCGAGAGCTTTGGCAAAATAATAAAGGCCAGCAGAAACATAAGCCTCGCGGGCTAATACGTAATAATTCATTTCGTGCGTATAAGCAACTACCAACTACCACTACGCAAATTAAAAGCTGTCTCGCAGAAAAAGGAGAAAAATTTTCGATCTCTCCGAGTCGAGTCTTCTTTTTTTATCTCAGCCATTCCAGCGTAACTCGTAGTATAGTAGTAGCAGTCGCGTCTGCATTAAACATCGAGTTTACGCATCTGCTTGAAGCTTTGAAAAATAGAGTGCGTTACTTGCTCTCCCGCTCCTCCCTATTACTTCGGAACTCTCTCTGCCTACCTACCTCTCGTCTGCGCACGAAAAGGGAAAAAAATCGTATACGCGATCGCTGTTTCTGACGTTAATTTATCGTGCTAGTGCAAACGAGGCGGCAGCTGAAAACTTTGCAATTTTCTTCGTCGCTGCTGCAGCTTTTTCTCTCTTTCTTCTGTTTTCTTTGCCTTCGTCTCTGTCTCTCTCTCTCTATCTGTGTATGTGTGCCGCTGCCGCGTCTATGTTTTTTTTTCCTCTTCCTTACTCTTCTTCCTCTCGCTTTTGTGTGCGTCTCTGTGTGTCTGTGCGCGCGCGGTTAAAGCCGCGGCGGTGGCAACGCGGTGACAGTAGTGGGAAAAGAAGAACAAAAGTTTTCCTTTCCACTGTTTGGCAAGGGAAAGAGATACGTTGATCGTTGTTATCCCAGCAAGCAGCAGCAGCAGATGCGTTTTTTATTTTACTTATTTACAAAATTCGAACTTTGACCATTTTTATCCGTCTTTCGCGAGGGTGTGCGCGGGGGGCAAAGGTGACTTTTGCACCTGTGTTAGTGTAAGCGCGTGTGAGTTACACGAGCGCGTCGAAAGATCGTTAATCAAAGAAGGAAGAAAAAAAGAGAGAGGAAGAAGTTGTATAGGATATCGCACGGCTGTGTGCTTTGAGCTGAGTCGGCGCGATCCGCTGCGGAGAAAGACGACGTATTCGCGCGCGGTTTATTATCGCTGACTATACGCGATCTCTCTCTATTGAGAGAAGGCTTAAATATGAATATAGGCGTCGGCTAGATATATCATACACGTAAATTATCGACCGATGTCCGCGAGTCGTGCAAAAAATTTTGGAACGTGGGTATAGATATAAATATCTCCGAAAAGCATTGGTATCACGTATTATTACTGCGCAACAGAATATGGATCGGTACTCCGTACGCCGGAAAAATCACTCGCCTATATGCTATATTATTTAATTGGGATTCAACGTTGATTGCTGAGCTTTTTCTGCGCATATATATAGCCGCAGCGAAATCCAATAAACAATTCAGCTCTCGGTAGCAATACATATACTTGTAAACATTCGCGATGTGCCCGCAAATATTTGCGTATATCCATTTGTTGGCTTCACTCGCTCTTTGCGGGCTGCAGTGAGTGTTCCGTGTAGTACAGCAGCAGCAGCAGCCGTTGCAGCATACGTAATATTATCCTCGCGGTGCTTTATGGGCCGAGCGATGTCGGCCGAGAAATGAACATTTTTTTTCTTTCTTCGTAAGTCGGAGGAGCTCCAATCTACCCTCGAACATCTCGGGGTCGTCCATCACCCGATGATGCATACACACACAAACGCACAGACAACTGCTGCATACAACATCAACGTGAGTGTGTGTGAGCAAATGCAGCATCCGCATCGGGCGAGCTTATACTCGTATCATGTGTAGGCAAGCTGGCGCATGTATATCCGCGCGGGTTTCGGGAAAACTCAACGAGTCTGTGCGTGCGTACGTGTGGAAGCTCGCGTGCGCACATGCGTACCTAATACATATACACGCGCGAACATAAAAAAAAAGTCTTAATGTAACGCGAGAACACATTTCTAGCGATAAGTATATTATATGTACTGCAACGCAGCCTCTCGCGCTGTACAGGCGCCCCCGATGCAGCAGCAGCACACGCACTCACACGAGTACAAATATATAAACAGCTACACGCGCATATGTGTGCCGCTAATGTGTATATGGCTGGTTCTGTGTCGAATCTAGTTGCCGTGACACGTGAATTTAGAATGAAAGTTTTGAGTACATTTTTTATCGGAGATTTGCCAAGTTTTCAAAGACAGAAAGTATATGGAGAGAAAAAAGTAAGAGTCAAAATCAAATCGAACTCGATCCGGACTTTTACTGCGCTCGAAAATTCGGAGAGCTTTTTTCGTATAATGTCAAGAAAGAATCGAATCGGGTTAGATTTTACGTTTCTTTGCGTAAGAGCAGCGCTACTCGAGGTGACATACTGCTCAAAATTTTGAGAAAATGTATGTTAGACTTTTTTTTCTAAAGTTACATTTTGGAGAATATTTCTGGACGTTCGATTCGATAAAGAACCGGTCGTGTCTATTACACAGAGTGCGGCAGTGCGCCCTCATGACGTGTAATACATTTACATACTTTTTACATCGTAATCTTTGCGCGTGCGGAGATCTGCGCTCGATGCATTGCTTTATGATGCTAGCAAATATTATGCACATTGCAATCAAGTAGCAGAACCACGAGAAGCCCGAAAATGAAATAAGTTAATACAAAGTTTAGGTTATTATTTATTTTCTTAAGTATAATTTAAGCTATATGTGCAACTGGTAAATGCAAATTTTCAATGGAATTTCGTTGTTACAGTTTTAATGACACGCGAGGACCTCTACACATATCGCATAGACATTTCTGCTTATGGAAGGGTCGAGATGGAGGGGGAACGTATCGCCAAGTAAAGGAGCACAATCGCACAGAGTCTCCTCATCAATGCCACTAGTGTACTACACGAGTAGTGCGTTCGGTCGCTGTAGCGAAGAGATAAATTCCTGCAGCGAGCAAGTGTTTACAAATAATATCAGTAATGGAGTGTAGGTCTCTATCTGAACTTGAGACACATAACCTCGAGGCTTATAACCTCTAATATTTTCTCGGTGTGCATCGCAAAAATTCACTGTGAATACGTTATACAATGAAGCGAGCGATTGAAAGTAGCGAGGACGCCGTTAGGTATAAATATTTTTAAACATATTGTAATAATTTTATTTAAAATCCAATTTCATTTTTACTCAGAGTGAAGGAAGAACCAAGCGATACTTTGAAGAATGCAGGTGACGATTATGCTTTAGATTCAGTGGACTCTTGCAAAGTCGAAAACTTGGAAACATGCCCGTTTTACAAATCATCGGTGAGTTTAATGATTTGAATTATTCTCTAATTTTCTGTTATTTAAAACTATTGTGCAATTTTAATTTCAAGAAAATCACATCAATGAAACTATTGTGTTACAGGAAAACTTGGATAAAAAAATATTTATAGATTTTGAGTGCAGATATGTTAAACTCGAACAGAAGTCATTATCGACCACCATCTGCAAAATTGAGAATCAAAATTACCCACTTGTTGTGAAAGTGGAAAATCAAAATCAGACCAGAGACTTGATTGAAAAAAATCTCATAATTTTAATAAAAAAAGGATTCAACTACGATCATCAATGTGCATTTCAAGAAAAATCCCGATTAACGCTTGACGAGTCCGGAAGGGTGAAAATATTTGATAAAAAAAATATATTTGAAAGGGGAAATGTGTGTCAAGAAACGTGTAAAGGAGAAACAAGTATAAAAACACATATCCATTCGACACATAAGACCATTATACCAATTAAATGTGAGATTTGTCACAAATCATTTAGCCGAAAAAATACTCTCAAAATTCACATGAATACAGTACATGATCTTAGCAAACCCTTCGTATGTGAGACATGTCATAAATCATTTACTCATAAAAGTCATCTAAATAGACATATAAGTTCAGTCCATGATCGCAGCAAACCCTTCGAATGTGATATGTGTCACAAATTATTTGGACAAAAATCTATTCTGAACAGGCACATAAATGCAGTACATTATCGTATTAAACCCTTCAAATGTGACGATTGCCACAAATCATTTGGCCGCAAGGATTGCCTTAAATCTCACTTAAATACAGTACATAATTGTAGCAAACCTTTTGAGTGTGAAATTTGTCACAAATACTTTGGATACCGAAGTAAACTTAAAAGGCATGTAAGTGCAGTTCATGATCGTAGCAAACCCTTCGAATGTGAAATTTGTCACAAATCATTTGAACGAATAGATAACCTCAATAAACACATAAATATAGTACATAATTGTATCAAACCTTTTGAGTGTGACATTTGTCACAAATCATTCGGACACGCAGGTCATCTCGAAATTCACATTGATACAGTTCACAATCAGAATAAACCCTTCGAATGTGAAATTTGTCATAAATCATTTGGACTAAAAAGTAATCTGAATAGACACATACGTTTAGTCCATGATCGCAGCAAACCCTTCGAATTTGAGATTCGAAGAATTTGAGACATATCACAAGTCATTTAATACCAAAATGTAGTCAAAGGTCACATTATGACAGTACATGAAAGCAGTCATAATAAACCTTAAAAGCGTGATATTTTTCCGGAAACTATTGGACGCAATAAAGACTCTATTCGCACGAGTTATCAATATAATTTTAGAACATCCTTTGCATAAATATCATTCTATTTTGTAAAGACTAATAAAGTGTTTCAAACTGTATACATTTTTTTTTCATTTTGAAAAATTTTCCTTTCACCTTTCACACATTAAGTCAAAAATAAAAAATATTTCTTAATTATCTACTCCCTATTGGTATATGATTGTAAAAAAGACTTGCCTCGAATTACATAACTTTGCACGCTGACTTTTTCAACTGATTCGCTGACGCTCTAAAAATTCAATGGCATCAAGGGTCGATAAAAAAACTCGGTATAAGTAGTGACAATTGAGATCCGATGCAAGGCATATCTTATAATCGCTCGTCTCTGATCAACTACTCGTTGTTCAACTACTATTGTTCTTAGAATCTATTATTCTTTTAATTTGTCACTCGTATTCCGAGTTGAACATTTATCATTTTTAAATCAGACTATGTATTACTTTATCATCATCAATGCGTAATTTTATAAATAATCACGATTGCAGTAGATAAGCTCTTTACCAAGGTATTGGTAGCGGGTTTTCTTTCATCTTCTGTCATCTGCCAAAGGAACCTCTCCTCTCCCTCTCTACGTGTGTGTGTGTGTCATATATGCGTCATATCTCACGAGATAATTACACGTGCGCAGAGCCACAGAGTAGAAGAAGAAAACACACGCAAGGAAAACGAATTGGTTTCACGGACCAGCAGCATCTCTGTCTCTCTTTCTCTATCTCTGAGCCTCCAAAAAACTCTATACCTCTTGGCCGTTAGTATGTTATTACACACTCGTGCGGCTACTGCTAGATTCTAAGAGAGAGAGAGTAAAAAAAAGGGACAAGAAACTTGCACTCAGCGGCGTATGTACAACTTGCTCGCTGAAACTCGCAGCGGTATAAAGGCTAAAAGTTCGCTCTGACGTTTCTTTCCATCCTGCTCCTCCTCCTCGTTCTTTTTTTCGCCTCCTTTCTGCCAGTCGAAAAAAGTTACCTACATACATACATATGTACGTAACATAGTACATCTGAGGTTTTCCTTTCTCATCGCGTTTTGTTTCACTTTTAGCTCCTCCGCCGCGCTCGTTCGTGAGAAAAAGGATCCGCGCGCGCGAGCTGGTATATGTTTTTTGCATGTCGTACTTATACTAGGCACACGCGTGCGCACTTTTTCCGCCGCGTTTGACGCAGAGGATGTACACACACACACACATATACTCGTCGCACGTATCAAAGTCCTGCAGCCCCGCTACATTCGCGACACATCTGTATAAAATATATCCGAGCGCGATTCGTCTCGGCTACTTCGTGATTTTTATCAATTACAGGCTATGCTTGCGATTGCTCCGCTCAAAGGCCGGCCCATAATTGCAGAAATTATAGTGCTCTCGATCGCGTCCTTCGAATTAATCAGCCCCGGCGCATTTGGCGAAACAAATCGTACGTTAAAATCCATTAATTTCGCTAAGCGATAATCGCCGCTAATGTCATTAGTGCAGCAGTGCATCGGCATCGCAGATTCGCGCAGTTTGCCCTTTTTTTTTATCATTTGCATTTATATGCCATACGCGCGCCTGTGTGTGTGTGTGTGTGTATGTGCTCCAGTGCAGTAACTCCGCATACACACACACACACACACACAAACATGGGTAAAGCAAACATCTGCGCGTATATACCATGATGATGATGATGCGGAGCCGACTATCGGATTCGATTCGGCAATTCTCCTTTGATTGAAGTACACCGAGTGCAGTGAGCGAGGGATTCATACCGTATAAGTAATGTGTACATATGCGTGAGCTCGTGTGTTTGTATAAACGCGCGCAGTTCGTCGATGATTCTCTCGATCGCGAGATATCTTCTACCTTATGCACTACGTTTATATTATTACGCTCCGGCGAGGCCCTCGTTACGTACCCTGGATTACGTTATTATACTTGCTCTAAAAATTAATATATTATATACCTGCCCAGTGCCCTGCACGCGAGTAAGAGAAAGAGAGATGATTCCGCGGATAGCTCCGAGATTTTTTTTCTGCTCTTTTGCTCTACCTTTACTTCCAAGTGTCTTCCTCTCCTTTTTTTCATTCGAGCCAAGCAAAAAGTCGGTGCAGTGTAGCGGCGGCTTATACTTTGGTAGTAGTGCTCGCGCGCGGGTGAAACAGAATTTTTGGAAAATATTTTAATTAAAAATGTTTCTCTTTAACGACTAGCTACTGCTACTATTACGTCGTCGTAGTCGTCGACTTGGTCGCTCTAGGTCGGAGAGCTTTATATATATATTCACGCGGCTTTCATTAATTTAATCTTTACAACGTAGGATATACATGTAACGCTTCTTTAGAAAAAGATTCATATATATGTACGTAATACGCGCGCTTGGGTTCCGTTACATTATGTGCGTTCTACTCTCCGCCTGACCAAAAGTGAATTTTTATCTCCCGCGCGTTCTACAATTAAAAAATACTCGCGCTGGCAGCGTCCACATATAGAGAGCTTTAATCATTTTCGAGGGAAGCCCAGCCGCGTGTAAGGAGTACGGAATTTCATTTATCTATGAAACTTTATAAAAAAATACAATTAGCCCCACATACGTACGCGTTCGTCGTCTTGGATTAAAATCCATCGGCTTGATTATATGCGATACAACCATAGCGACCTACGTAATATAAAAATGTACGTATCACAATATGCGTACCGAATATCGCACGACTATAGGCGTTATAATCAAACTGGCGCGAAATTAAGCCGCGAAAATGTGTACCTTAACGCGAGCCTGCTACTATATATACGCATAATATTATGTCGTTGCGCCCGCGTGCAATTATGATAATGGCATCGACTTTGTGTGTGTGTGTGTGTGTGTGTGTGTGTGTGTGTGTGTGTGTGTGTGTGATTGAAATGAGTCGCGAAGGGAGGGTATGGAGGACGGGATGAGTCCACGTCTGCGTACGGGAAAATGCGCTGGATGATATTATACGAGTGTGTGTATGCCGTGTTGTTTTCCACGTCGACGACGAAAAAAAGCTCGCGCGTGTGCAAACACAGAGGAATGGAGGGTGTACGGCACAGCCGAAAGAAATTAAAAATAGCTAGCGTGTGCACACGAGAGAGAGAGAGACACCGATCGATATGTATATACACACAAAAGCAGTATGCAGCAGCAGTCTGCAAAAGTGTCAAATAATTCGCAACTCTAGCGCAGTCGTCGTCGTCGTCGTCGTCGCGACGGTGCGGTTTTAATCAAACGCTCGACATTGAGGCCTAAAAGCGCACCCCCAACCCACCATCTCCTACACACCACTCGTTAATGGACTTTCGAACAAATGCAATATATAAAGTTCTTAAATGCGCATAGCGTCTCTCGCGAGATAGTATAGATAGTATAGTATATAAAGCTCAGCTCGGCTCGCGATTGTCAAACTGCGCGTACCGAGATTTCGCGTATTTTTCGTATTACATGTAAGGCGCTTTATGCGCGCGAATCGTGCATGATATATGTGCGCTCTTGAAGCCTCGCCTCGCGCCTCGAGGGAGCTCCGCACTGCGGTGCGCAATGTAGGTTCTGATGAGTTTTCTCGGAGAACTGCGTCGTCGCGTTCACGGCTTAGAGAGAGAGAGAGAGAGTACAGAGCGATTGCGAGCCCGCAAGTTATAAGACGCGCGAGGCGTTTGTATCGAGTGAATTTAAATGCGCTCCGCGCGTGAATCATCGCCTTCCTCGCTTCGTATGCATATTGTAAAGCTTTTGACTCGTTTCGTCCCGTAAAAGCTTCCCAAAAGGGATTATACGCGCGCGCCGAGCGGACCAGTGCGTCGAAGGCTGCGTGTCCCGCTGCCTCGGGCTCGGTGCCTGCGCGAATATTCGAAATATTATATGTACTCATTAAAAAGTGAAAATGATCGTTTTCGCGCGCTCATAGTATATAGGGTCATGGCTGCGACGTTTAATTCGCGACGAGACGCGAAAATGAAATATAAAGTTATATTCGCGCGTATCGGTGCGCGATGCTGGTGCGATTATTATTACTCGCGAGCAGCTCCGAACTTTAATTTACGAGCTATCTCTCGCTCGGGAGACATGCGGAAAAAAAGCGCGTATATACTCTCGAGTATATGATGTACGTTTCTTAAACGATATAAAAGTTTTGCTTATAATTCGAACGTTATCTCTCTCTCTCTTTTTTTGTTGCCGCATGCGATCACCCCTGCACACGATGCGTTGCGCGGCCCGGCCTGGCCTCGGATAAAAATCGATCGCGCGAGCGCATCTACTTATACGGTCATTAAATCAATGTTTCTCTCCCTCTTGACTCTCTCTCTTGTGCTATATATAAAATGCACTGCGCACTTGCAGATTTTAAAATATACGTACATTTGCAGTTTCGTACTCATATGAATGTATATAATATACTCGAGTTTGTGCCGGAAATAAAACAGCAGCACGACGAGAAATCCTTGAAAGCGGCTCGCAGCTGCAGCGCAATCGTAATCGCGTATCGATCCTCTCTCTCCTTATTTTTCCGCATCTTCGATTCATTTTTCTCTCTCTCTCTCTCTCTCTATAAATTCGTCACGTTGACGTATAAGCCTTTTTTAGTCGTACATACATACTCTCCAAATTTGTTTGATATTATAAGCGTATAGTACATATTTTACGTATATTCACATTTGCTGCGAGTGCGGGTCATCGGTGTGTGTTATATGTACCGGCGGCAGTCGTACAAAGCAGTACACACACACACACACACACATAATACGAGCTTCGCGCGCAGCGAGAAGCCAACCGAGAGAGAAAGAAAAAAAGGCCACGGGAGAGTCTCTTATCGCTCGTGAATCTGTATACAGTGAGCTGCACGAGGCTCTTTATACTCGGGACCATACGAACGAAAGAGAGAGAGAAGAAACACGAGGCGCGCGTGATTATGAGTACGTACGTATATATGCACATATACGTATGAAAAACATCCGAGTCGTGG